CCTTTACTGTGTTTATTCCCTTTATGTATTTAATTGTTTCTATCATATCCCCCCGGTCTCGTCTTTCCTCCAAGCTATACATGTTAAGATCCTTTAACCTTTCCTGGTAAGTTTTATCCTGCAATCCAAGAACCTGTTTGGTAGTCCTTCTCAGAACTCTTTCCAAAGTATCCATATCCTTCTGGAGATACGGTCTCCAGTACTGCGTACAATACTCCAAGTGAGGTCTCACCAGTGTTCTGTACAATGGCACGAGCACTTCTCCCTCTCACACATTGTTTTCCTCCTACTAGATTGTAGTATCACTATTAAATGTGTTTGTCTTCCAAGGGAACACTAGTGAAGATCAAATGGCCTTATTGGATAATTTATATTTCTCATGTGTTTGTACCTGAGGATTTAGGATGTTCAGAGATGTCCAACCTTCCATTGCTGGTACAGTGTGAAAGTCCAGATAGCAGGGAACATTCCAGACCCAGACCAAAGAGGGAAACATTTTGCACTGAAGGTACTCTGTGAAGGAAAAATGGCAGTTTACAACACATCATACATACAAAACTGACACTTTGTATGGTACAGTGTTTAAAGCCTACTCTGGTTTACCAACAATATTAAATACATAAGAAAACCAGACAAACTGTAATAAGCCTCTTCGGCTATTTAAGGATTTACACAACACAGCAGCAGCAGACGTGAAAGAAGTTAAAAGGTTACTGAGCACCATAACCACTGCATCTTATTGTACTGGTAATGGTGTTAGCAGTCTATAAGTACAATGTCCCCAGCCTGCTTTTTACAAAATATTTCAGTGGATTAACAAAAATCAGGGTTCTACTGTCACTTCAAACGTGACCGTTCTACTACCACCAGAAACCAGGGACAAAGCTCCTAGAGACTGCACCATAACCACTTAGATAGCGAGTAGTGCTCAGAGTTGCCTTTGAGGAAGACGGCTGTAATGAGCATTATGTAAAAGGACAGGAGCCGGCGGGAGAAGGCCCCTTTAAAGATATTTCTCCCAAAGCCTGCTTTTGAGTTTATATTTTAAGTTAGAGTAAGGAATAAGATCAGGGTTGTAGCCAGGGTCCTTTAATTTTATGGAAGCACAGAGTCATGCATGTAGCAGCCTGGGAGAGTAACTCATTAAACTAAGGCTGACCCTATGTAATGGTTTGAATTGCGCGTCATTTTGTTCAGAAATGCCCCGATTTAGTAAAGGAAAGGTCTGCAGATAACTTGTTATTCCAAAAATTCTGCTAATCCAATTAATAGTAAATAAAATATTACAAGACACTGTCCATGGACGAACACGGTCACTAAGAAAACGATATATAGATTTTGCCCAGCTAGAATACAAGGAAACCAACTAGTCTTATTGAGATGTAAATAACGTGTGTTATTGTCAGCTGGCACTAACACCATATGGCTCAAAGGGTTTCACCATTATCAACATCTGGCTCACTAGGTTACTGTGTTAAAGCACAATCACTGTATGGCTCACTAGGTCACTGTGTTACAGCACTATCACTGTGTAACTCACTATTACCCTGTGTTACAGCACTATCAATATCACGGTATAACTCACTATTACCCTGTGTTACAGCACTATCACTGTATGGCTCACTATTACCCTGTGTTACAGCACTATCACTGTATGGCTCACTATTACCCTGTGTTACAGCACTATCACTGTGTAACTCACTATTACCCTGTGTTACAGCACTATCACTGTGTAACTAACTATTATCCTGTGTTACAGCACTATCACTGTGTAATTCACTATTACCCTGTGTTACAGCACTATCACTGTGTAACTCACTATTACCCTGTGTTACAGCACTATCACTGTGTAACTCACTATTACTCTGTGTTACAGCACTATCACTATCACTGTGTAACTCACTATTACCCTGTGTTACAGCACTATCACTGTGTAACTCACTATTACCCTGTGTTACAGCACTATCACTGTGTAATTCACTATTACCCTGTGTTACAGCACTATCACTGTATAACTCACTATTACCCTGTGTTACAGCACTATCACTGTATGGCTCACTATTACCCTGTGTTACAGCACTAACACTGTATGGCTCACTATTACCCTGTGTTACAGCACTATCACTGTATGGCTCACTATTACCCTGTGTTACAGCACTAACACTGTATGGCTCACTATTACCCTGTGTTACAGCACTATCACTGTGTAACTCACTATTATCCTGTGTTACAGCACTATCACTGTGTAATTCACTATTACCCTGTGTTACAGCACTATCACTGTGTAACTCACTATTACCCTGTGTTACAGCACTATCACTGTGTAACTCACTATTACCCTGTGTTACAGCACTATCATTGTATGGCCCACTATTACAGTGTGTTACAGCACTAACACTGTATAACTCACTATTACCCTGTGTTACAGCACTAACACTGTATAACTCACTATTACCCTGTGTTACAGCACTATCACTATCACTGTGTAACTCACTATTACCCTGTGTTACAGCACTATCACTGTATAACTCGCTATTACCCTGTGTTACAGCACTATCACTGTGTAACTCGCTATTACCCTGTGTTACAGCACTCTCACCGTATGGCTCACTATTACCCTGTGTTACAGCACTATCACCGTGTAACTCACTATTACCCTGTGTTACAGCACTATCACTGTGTAACTCACTATTACCCTGTGTTACAGCACTGTGTAACTCACTATTACCCTGTGTTACAGCACTATCAATATCACGGTATAACTCACTATTACTATGACCCTGTGTTACAGCACTATCACTGTGTAACTCACTATTACCCTGT